AGAGAAGAGAAGAGAAGAGAAGAGAAGAGAAGAGAAGAGAAGAGAAGAGAAGAGAAGAGGCTGGAAAGATGAGGAGTCAGAAGGGTCTTGTAAGCCATGCCAAGGTTGGGTTTTGGAGGGCAATGGAGATCAATTAAACAATTTTAAATGAAGAAATAATACGATTCAATCATATTTTAGGAAAATCATTCTGGAAGCAATGAGGAAGATGGACTGGAGGGTGGGAAGATCACCTAGTAATTATAGTGATCAGGCATTGCAAGATGAGGGATAAACAGGAGGGATGTTTTTTATGAGCCATTTAAAATGAAAGATCATCAAGACATGGGGATAAAGTCTATTTGAAGCTCATTTAGATTAAGGGAGGCAGTGATGTGGTCGGCGGTTGAAAAAGATCTTTGGAAGACTGGATAGGCTTCTGGCCATTCACCGGCCTTCAGAAGGACTTCATAGGGAAGAATGATCGAGGGGTGGTAGGGATATGATGAGTTCAGTTTTAAACCCAGTGAGTTTGATGCACCTGTCGGACAACCACGGAGACGTCTTAGGGCCTATTAAACAGGTCAAGAAGTCAGAAGAAGAGAGGTATTGATTATACAGATTAAAAGGTATTGGCAGCCAAGGGTTTGGAGGTCACCTAGCGAAAATGTGCAATGTGAGGAGAAACAAGAAGCAAGGGTGGGAAGGTCAACACTCATGTGTGGGGCACTGGATAAACAGCCACGTGGCAGTTCACTCACTGTACATGTCTGCTCTCATCATCATCATGAAGGCCTGCACTGAATCCAGCCTTCCATTGCAGGAAAAATCAACCTGGTTTGCTTAGAGCCCAGAGAAAAACCAGGTAAAAGAGGTATTAGTGTTCATTTCAACAAGCTAACTCTTCAGGTAATACAGAGTTAAGGGAACTCTGTGTGGGCTCAAGGACAACAGAAAGAGGAGAACAGGAAGCATTAGAACTGCAGGGATTGTGCATTTCTGGATTTCCAGCTTTCCAGCACTTGAAGAAGTGAAACCTTCCTCACCTTTCTTGCAGCACAGGCTTCTGTGGGTGCACCTGAGATGTGCCTATTTACCCTAATACTTCAACTACAAACACATCATCCATTAGGAAGAGTTCTCTAGTTAGAGTCAAGGCCAAGATGTGTAACTCAAACTTGAACATCTCCCCCTAGAACTGGGTCTTAGCCTTTTTTTTTTTTTTTTTTTTTTTTAGTATGGCTCTCTGGATCTGAGGTACAATTTAAGCCAGAGACCCTCATCTCCGAGTAAATACACATACATGCAACATATTTAAAATTTCAGGTGCTTCACAGACACCTTTGCCAAAGTCCCTCCATGAATCCCTTAGGGGTCTCTGGACTCCCTGTTGAAAGCTCCACCCTAGAACAATTTATCTAGCTCATGTCACTTTCAGAAAGTTCAAAACAAAACCAACTCATTCCAGAAGAGCACAGCAAAAGGAAGCCAGGCACTGTGGCTTCCACTGACCCTGAACTGATAATTCCTTATTTCCGTTTTCAGTAAGGCAGAGGATATCTCCTTCCCTTTTCTAAGAATCCCTGTCCTTCCCCCAACAAAATAGACCTCAGGCACAGAAACCAAAACAACGCAGCTGAACGCAAAAACTCAGGCCTCCACAGTGGGCCTCGTGAGGAGCAGCTCCAAGGGCTCCAGGCTGACTGTGACATTATCCTCATGCAGCCATCCCCCTGTAAACAAGAAACATCCCTAGTTCATGTCTGCTGAGACAGGGGCAAGAGGGGGTCTCCAAACGCTGGGGATAGTGGCCAGGAATATAGCCACACTGGGTGGGCTTGGCACAGTGTGAGAGTCAAATAAATATCTGTTGCCTGAGCACTGGCTCTGCTCTCCTAGAGCAGAGTCTTGGGTTTTGATGGGTGACAGGTATGGCTGACACCCAGTACATTCCTGAAGATTGTAAATTTAGACAGCAGGTAAGTTAGGAAGTGTTATGACTTATAGGGCAAAATAATCCTGTTATAAAATGCAAGGAACTCGGCACCTTTAAATGGAGACAACTCACCCATCTCCACACTCCTAGTAAATTTCCCTCTTTTCCATCTATTTTTTGTATTATTTATATATATTTTATTATAAAAGGAACACACTCTCACTAAAGAAAATTTGGGAAATATAGAAAAGTATAACCACCACTTACTTCTGAAATGATGTGATTTATTTCATCATTTGCATGTACCTTTTCAGCTTCCCAGGGACACTTGCATTGTTCAAGGGTGAGGCGTTCCTTTTTGGGGGGAGGGGGGCTGTCACCACAGACAAATGGGACAGGATCCTTTGACCTTGTGACTCTCTGGGCTCTCACCTCGTGGCCAAGAATTATTTATTCTATTGTGTTTTCCAAGTTGATGGAAATTTCCCACCATTTATGCCTATTCTCTTCACTTCCTCAACCTGAAAGACCAGAAAGAAAAATTTAATCACTGGAAGCTCTTTCCTATTATTTTTTCTGCTTCGGTATTTCGAATGTTTTCTTTCAGCCCTCACACCACCCACCGCCATCTGGAGAGGTTTTCTCAAAAATTCTAGCAGGGATTTAGAAACCAACCACACCGTTACATGTATTTGGTCCTGCCACCACTAATAGCTGTATTTCTTTTGGTGAATGTCTCACTGACAGTAACTCTTGCAAAACAGAAAAGCCACAAGTTCAAAGCATATAAACCACAAATGCAAACACAGCAGACATGCTAATTAAAGAATCCAGAGAAAAGACTTCAGAATTTGATTTCCCCTGCCTCTGGATTCTTATGTAGCTTTGAGAGGGAGACTTTTTAAAAAATAGATTCAGAATCATATTATTTGCTGAGAGAAATCAAGTGTCTCGAATACTTTCTCCAACCAAGTGTAAAACTGGAATTTAAAACAGTAAGGGAGAGGGGAACCTGGGTGGCTCTGTTGGTTAAGCATCTGACTTTGGCTCAGGTCATGATCTTGTGGCCCGTGGGCTTGAGCCCTCCGCTGGGCTCTGTGCTGACAGCTCAGAGCCTGGAGCCTGCTTCAGATTCTCTGTCTCCCTTTCTCTCTGCCCCTCCCCAGCTTGTGCTCTGTCTCTTCCTCTCAAAAATAAATAAACATTAAAAATTAAAAAAAAAAAAAACCGTAAGGGAGGATCAGTTAGTTTACTAGAGAAGTGAGAACCTTCTCACCTGCCTCACAGTGGTAAAGAGCACATATGAGGTTAGCATATGTGATGTTGAAACACTGTCATTGCTAGGATATCCATTTTCTTCTCTGTTTCGCTTTCCTCTGAATGCTTGTGTATCTGGGATTCATGTACCAACTGCCATATACACGGGCCAGACTTGATTTCTGGATGCAGTGTTTCAGTTATGCTTTCAGGGAAAGCATAAATGGCTGACATATGTGTGTGAAATTTATTGTAGTATCTTCTTGACCTCTTTTACTTTTAATAAGAACAAAAAAAAAATAGTAGCAGTATGGGTTAAATTAAAATGTGGCTTGCAATTCAGGGGAAATTCAAAGAGCTTTAAAAATGTGTGAGCTGTTACTGCTCCTTACTTCCAACCACTCTGGCACGAACAGTGAGAATTTTACAATGATCAAACGATTAACAGCTTCATAGCACTGATACAGCTGCACTCACTGAACCCCTGAAGCCCCCGAGATGGGAGTTTTTACTACCAGTTCCCATCTCCAGATAAGGAAACTGAGACTCTGATGGTAAGTAGCTTGCCCAAGGGCACAAAGGTAGGAAGAGGTCAAGTGGTATCTAACCCTAGTTTATTGACTCAGAAGTCCAAGCATTATAGAGCTCAAATGATAAACTATCCAAAGCAAATGCCAGCATCAAATGGGTCCACACTTCATTTCCCTCTAGCAAGCCAAGAAAGCAAACTGGAAAAGTAGAGCCGGCTTGACTTTTCCACTAGAGCTGGAATGCCCCCAGGTTCAGCTCCAGAGCCCCTTCTCTTCTTGGTCTAATTTAATCCCTTCACGAATTTAACTCTCATCTACAGCCAAGGACCCCTACATTGATGTGTCCAGCCCTGACCTCTCACCTGATGCCGACTGAGTGCCTTCACGACAGCGTTTAATAGGCCTCTCAAAGGTCACATATCCATGACTGGATAGCGACGCTCCCTCCAAAGCTGCTCTACCAGAAGCCTTCTGCATCCAACGTGATGGCAGTTTATCTTGGCAGTGGCGTTGGTCACAGCATCAAGTCATCCTAGACTCCCCTCTTCTTCCTACATGGTTTCTCTCATGTTCATTTTAGGCAGCGGACAAATAGATTTCTCCTATGCTTCTTTAAAACAGCAAGCTCCCCTAGTACACATAGTAAGACTTCATTTGCACACAACTCAGCAGGAGCACCTTTCCCAAAGCAGTTAGGTGAGCTTCATCCACCATAGCACTGCCTACCCATGTATAGCGATGTCCACCTACCACTTTTTTTTTTTTTACGTGCTATTATGTAACACTTCCTGTCTCCCAGACAGTGGTCTCAAAGTGCTTTACAGCTAATTAGCACTAGAGAATTCATGTAATCCTCATAGGAACTCTCTGAAGTAGACACCACTATTCTCTTTCAGTAGATAAGGAAACTAAGATACAGGGAGATTAACCAGCTTGCCCAACACCACACGATTCAAACCTGGACAGTCTAGCTCTGGTGTGCATGCTCTTAACCACTTTATCACGCTCCATCCATGAAACATACTTTTTCCTCTAAGTACAGAAAGGAACCTATACTCTTATCTTGCTTTCTTATGGCCGGGGCCCACCTCTGCCAAGTTCCTGGCCAGGACTGACTGCGCCTTCTCTGTCCTCTTCACAGGAAAGTGGCAACTAAATGACAAGAGACCAAAGCCCCTTGTCCCATGAGCACTGGGCTGTGACCAGCCAAGTCATCTAGCTGAATCTGAGATATGACAGCACATGACCCTGCCTCCTTGGAACTGCCTCCCCAAGGCCTGCTCGGGGATCAGGAACTGAACACCAACCAACAGCAGAGCATGAGAGCTCCAGGGCCTCTGAATGTGATGGATGGTGCGGCTGGAGGGGCTGCTTCAGAGGATACTGCCCACCTGGGCCAATTAGGCTGTTGGTGAGTGACTGGGATGTGCTGAATGTACTCAAATAGATGCCCCCAAAAGACCCCCCTTTTAGATGTTACTTTAATACCAAAAATATTAAGGAGAAAGAAATAGATAAAAGAAGAGAAGCAAGTGTGCTTCAACAGCCCTGTTGACAGTGAAGCCACGGAGCAAAAACAAGGACAGTTCGGGGCGCCTGGGTGGCGCAGTCGGTTAAGCGTCCGACTTCAGCCAGGTCACGATCTCGCGGTCCGTGAGTTCGAGCCCCGCGTCGGGCTCTGGGCTGACGGCTCGGAGCCTGGAGCCTGTTTCCGATTCTGTGTCTCCCTCTCTCTCTGCCCCTCCCCCGTTCATGCTCTGTCTCTCTCTGTCCCAAAAATAAATAAACGTTGAAAAAAAATTTTTTTAAAAAAACAAAAAAACAAGGACAGTTCTTCTGGCAGGATCTCTGTGGGTGTGCCCGGAGTGCACAGACCGCCCCCCACCCCTTAACCCTTTAGAGGACTTTTCCTTCTGTTTCCAGATAGAATAGTGACTAAGGGCACAGCTTCTAGAACTGACAGATTAAGAGGTGGGGTCAAAGCCCTCTCCACCACAACCTCCGACAGATTACTTACCCTTGCAGATACTACTAATGCCCCACCTCACAGAGTTGAGGCGGAAATTCAGATAATGTGGAGTAAAATGCTAGCAGAAGACCTGGGACACAGTAAAACTCCATGAATGATAGCCACTTATGGTAATTTTGATAATCTCAATAATAAAAGTTGTTCACACCCTTCAAGTGTTTAGAGGGTTGAGTGAAGGGAAATGTAGGGACAAGGAATGACGCAGAGAAAAATTAATACTTTATGTTTGGCAAGGGTGGGAAAATACAATAGGAAAACTGTATTTGTGACAGCTATGTCTTGTTTTTTTTTTTTTTTAATGTGTGCCAGTTCACACATTTAAATAACATTTAACTGAGTAAGCTCACTGACTATGGATCACCCTAACCTTACCCACTTCACTATGGTATCATATTCTTTCTTCTTTAAAAACTTAAGTCGAAAAAGACAGACAAATATATTGTTTCTAAAGCAAACAGAGGAATAAAATCTGTTTTCATTTAAAGCATCTCATTTTTTTTTTTTTTTTTTTAAGCAATTAGCTAACTTCAAAGGGCAACCAATGCAGTGATTCTATCAAGCTGGCAAGGGTCTGGTGTCTCACTTCAAAGTTTAGGCAGATTGAAAGCCACTGATAGACCTGCTATACTGGCTGGCATCTGGCATGAAAAGTGCTGAGAATACCAATTCATTCAGATGGTGTGTGCGCACAGACCCACAGCACTAAAACGGTACCTCTTTCAATGAGAGCCCCTGCTAAGCCTGAAAGAGAAGGGTGTAATCATCCCACCTCCAAATTAAAATTAATGAGGGTCATTGGGATTAAGGCTAAGGGCCTCTATGGGATAAAAGAGTGATGGAGAAAGTCCTAATTGGATGGAAGGGTCCCCAAGTGCTTAGTGAATATCTGTAAAGCAACTTAAGCTGGACACCAGGGGAGGTGGGACCAATGAGCACAGAAGTGCCAGGGGATACCTGCACGACTTTAAACAAGCTGCTTGACCTTCCCAGGTCACCTTGCAAGCGGAGTGAGACCAACCACCTGCCAGTTTGACAGAGTTTATGATAGGATTAAATTTTATTTATAAAGAGGTTTGACATTCTTAGCTCCAAAGTGCTTTCCTATTAATAAAGTGAACATGTTAAGAGGACAAATTAGAGTCCAGAGTACTCATTTGCTAACAAATCACCAGATGGCTTCATTTTTCAGGAGGTGACACAAGCCATCAGAATATTGGAATTAGACAATCAGATGGCAGTCAAGAAAGGAAGACTTTAAGAAGCTGTCTACCTCAGACTTCTCTGTCCTCTTCTACTTGACTCCTTTGCTCTAGAAGTCTAGCCACAGACCTGGAACAAGCTTGTGTGGACTGTCAGAGCCATGGTTTGCTGAGGTCCATTCCCTAAAACCTGATGTGCCCACCTAAACTCCATTTCTACTTCCAATCCAATGCAACTGCACCTCCGTGAACCTTCCCAGCCTAGCAACACCTCAGAAAGATTCTGTCTCTGAATTCACAGCTTGCAGTGCCCCCTTTAATTATATGGCTGGCCCCACTATTATTTGACTACTATTATTTCTGTATAAATATTATGCCCTTTCACTCCCAGATTAGAGGCTGTGTCCAAAGAATAAGCATTACACTTCTCTGAATTCCTCACATCGTCCTCAGAACCTTGCACCCAGAAGATACCCAATGCCATTCCTGTGAAACCATCTTCCAAA